ATACCGGAGTAGTATAGATTTATAGAACAACTCTGCAGGGACACCTCTAAAAAGCATTATGCGGGTTACTCTGTAATTAGGCGCAAGCCTGTTGAGGGCCCAGAACAAGAGGGACAATAAATAAATAAATTGGTTGCAAATAATACATATACTGAAATCAGGACCGAAATGCATGCATTTGAAAAATTGAATTTTAAGCATGTCATTTTGTCAGTCCGCATTTTGATTACAACAAATGCTAGCTTGTTTCTGAAATTTTAGGTGAGGGAAGTATTCAATACGACGTCTCACATCAAGAGTCATTTGAGCAAAGAGTGAAGAGTTTGGGTTACGATTTAAATCCATATCAGGAACAATTGTTAGCATTGGAATTTCAAATTGGGGACGTGCTCTGCCCTCTTGTAACATGATAGATAAAGGTCTCTTTTTTGTAAGTGCTTCAATGAATCAAGAACAAGTGTTCTTATACTACAGTACCTAAGTTGAGTAAGTTCGTGAATTTGGATGTTTCTGCAGGGATTCTAAGGCATAAATATGGCCAAGTAATTCAAGAAATCATCAGCACCTTCAATAAAACCGTAAAACATAACAAAGTCATAGATTTAGATTTAGTAGTTAGTACCTGCAAACTTTGAAAATGGTTCTGTCTGAACAGGAATTATCCCACATTTCGCAGTTTTTTGAAAGTTTAAAAAATACTGTGGTAATCATTTTGATCTATAAAAGGGAGCTTTCCGTAAGCGAAGGAAGTTGTGGTTTTTAGCTGTGCTAGGATATTATTATTAAAAAAGTCTAATACAAATTTTCCTCTAGATGACTCCTTCATGAAGTATAAGCCATCCTAGTTCACATAACAAACTGCTAATAACTATGATTCAGTACACTAAAAAGTAAAAATTTGCAATTGCATATATATTGGAGTTGAGGAGATGTAGAAGTATTTGCATTACTTTCCTAAGTGTTACACTTAGATATGAATACACATGATTGCACCTCTATGGTTTTTTAAATTTTAAAATTTTTTAAATGTGGCATCAATCGATCGATCAATCGATCTAGAATGCCGTGATCTTGCAATTTGCATAATTCACAAACTGTCATGTTGCCAGATTTAAAAATCGAAAAGTGTTAATATCTACCTGAAGGAGTCATCTAGAGGAAATTTTTTATTAGACTTTTTTACTCAGAAAATAATGCGGAATCGCGGAGTGAAGAGTTTTATCACTCGAAAGCTCTGTAGCGTCTTTCCAAAAGCGCGTAGGTTAATTTTTTCAAAGGATTTCTAGGGTTTTCAAGGCACGTTCAATCTAGGAAATGGCGTCTAGGTTACATTTTCAAAGCTTTTCGATACTGATATAATAAGATTCTTATAGCAGCTTTAGAAAAGATTCAATGTTTGTGCGTATATACAGCAAACGAAGGCTTTAAGGGTCTCCTAGGCATTTAGTATTGCTTTATAATGTCTTTTCAGGGCTTAGAACAAAGCTTATAAAATCTTTGTAAATGAGCTTTATAGACTGTATTTTAATGTTCGAAGCTTTTTTAAAGCCATCTAGACCTGCAAAGCGCTTCTAGGACTGTGCTTTGAAGAATTGCACTTCGAAGAGTTTCTATAGCATTATTCTAGAACATTTTAAATAGTACGACCTCTGCAAATCGCATTCCCAGATAAATGCTTGACATGGAACATGGGACCATACTAATCCAGTGAATACAAGCGAGTTACCTACCTTACCAATGGTCCGGTAGTTCTAAAGTTTTGATATGTTGTCTAGGATGGTTAGTAAGTGCAAGTAAGCTCAAAATGCGGCATCCCCCTCCGCGCCGGGCGCCATATTGAAAAAAACTGAACAAAATCGGCAGTTTTTTCAGATTTTTACTTATATGTTCGTTTCACTGCATTTTAGCTACAAAAAAGTTCTACTCAACATTGAGAGAATACGATTTCCTATAATTTCCGTCTTTAATTTTTGTTTCTATGACTGATAGTTGCGGAAATATGCACTTAAAAAATCGCATTTTCCGGAAATTGTTCAAACTTCTAACTTTAGAACGGAGTGGGGGGTAAACACAACAGTTAAAACAAATGCACATTGTATCTAAAAAATGGACCAATTACAGGTGAATGACCGGTACCTAATCGAAAATAGTGTTTGTGGACATTACATTAATAATGACTTCAGCAGCTGAGATGTCAATATATGCTTAATTTCCAATAAGGATTTGGAAGGCGCTCCAATCCATACTGTGAAACGTAAAGAAACCGAGCCTTTACGTAAATCAGCTAAAAGAAAAGGGCAAAAAGGGACCATCCACAAATCTTAGCGGGAAAAGAGGAAATAACAGTTCATAGAGCAAGTGCTTATTTTTGGAAGAAGAGAAAATGACTCCTTTTACTAAACGAAACATTGTGGTCCAGATGTATTCGGTAAGGGACACGTTTTTGAATGCTGCCCAGAAACGTGGCGACATATAAGACGTATAAGGCCGTATCCCACATGGAGAAGGCAATGGAAGAGAGAGAAGTATTCATTTCTTGAGAATACTGAAGAATGTCAATATTCAGTTCACCCGTTGAATTCAAGAATTGCATTCAGGGTGAATATCAGAACTAGTCAAAACAATTGACATCCGCCCATCGGAAGAGTTCTTGGAAGATATCCTTATTATCAATGTTCCCAAAGAAACGAAGACCTATTTCAAAAATACAAGATAGATATAAAATATGGTACAGTACAATTAAATTCCCTTATCGCGAAGGAGAGAGACAGACAGTAGTGAAAGCAGCGGCAGACATCATTTTAGAACACATTCGATTTCTCGTGTGTACAATATCACTGCCACTGCCAAATTTTACAATGATGTTGAAAGGGTGATTCCACAAATTTTACTCACTCTCTTGACAACCGTTTTAGCAAAGAACAAGAAAGTTTGGGAAATTTCTGGGGAATTCGATTTTTTAATTTTTGCATATCTCCGTAACTATTAGTCCTAGAAACAAAATTGAAGAACGTAATGGATAGGAAATTTAATTCTCTACAACACTGAGTAGAACTCTTTTCTAGTTAAATACCCCGAAACGACGATATCAGGGAAAATCAAAAAGTCCTATTTCATTCGGTTTTTTCATTACGGTGGCGGGGAAGGAAGAGGAGGAATTGTGCATTGTGCATTTTAAACGCTTCTAATCACCCTAGACAACATATCAAAAATTGAGGGATACCGGACTGCTTGTAAGATAACCCCACTTTTTGTCTTTTTGCTTAAAAAAGTGAATTTAATTTTATTCTAAAACCTTTTCGGGAAAACTACCACCTTTGAGAAGTATCCTCTAAAGCACCTGGTTACAGTGTTCCTCGCCAAATTTATGCGTCACTGGGCAGGCCTCTTGGGCAGCAATAAAGAAAATCTAAAATTGTGATGACAGATCGAAGAAATAAAGTTTTACACGGGGACTTGGAGATGAATGAAGTGTTCCGATTTCCAGACTCCTCGGACTAGGACAGAAACTTGTCAGGCAAGGTAGGTGTTTTCCAGGAAACTTTGGATGATTTTTAAAAGAAGATATCGATATTTTTTATTAAATTATCACTGGCGATTAAACCTGAGTGTTTAACATGCATTTTTCAACAAAACAATGAATCGATGCAAAGGATCTCCACCATCAAAAAGGTCGAAAACCCAGGGGAAAATTGATGCCAGTTTTCCGGGATTGTGAAGAAATGATGTTGATTTAAAGTACATAAAAAAGGACAACTACAATTAACGCCGTTGTTTACAAAATTCAAGAGAAAAGACCTTAGAGTTTTGCCATACTGATATACAACGGTGCAAGGTGCACACGGTTCTAATTAATGAAGATTCCAAGATTTAAAACATCCGCCCTATAGACTATATGTAGTGCCGAATTAGTTTCTTGCGACTACGATCTTTTCCACAAGTTGACATTATAATAGTTCTGATGAGGACCATGTGCGGAAAATTAATTTTTTACATGAAAATGTCCCCTTGTATTTTTTTCAACTTCAAAAATATCGTTGTAGTTTTGACAATGAATGAAAAAACTCAAAAAACTATGCAAATATCAAATAATGTACCTACAAGGAATCTAGTTTGCCATACGAATAATTATTGAGAGCTTTTCTGGTTTTAATAGTATCGCCACCAAATTATACGAAAGTTTATAAAAAGTAACGCCCAGTTACTCCGTTTAATTTTGGTGCACAAACCGAACACAATATAATCTTTAGGACGTTTCGGTTCTTGAATTTGAAGGAACAGCTTGGTGCACGTACGTTGAGTGCATGTTAAACGTTCATAAATTAGTTTTATAATTTTGAATGAAAATGGTAAAGGGCCATCGTGTAGAATAATAATTTTGGATAGTAAACACGTGCAATTAGTTTTCAAACGCGTTTACAATGCAATTTGTAACCGGTCGAGATCTGAGATTGGCACGTGCTCCTCCATACAACTTTATCTGTGCGTTTAATATTGCGATAAATATGTAATTAAAGTAATTGCGAGACGGCGAATCTATAAATATAATTAACGGAATATTTCACCTTTTCTGAAGTAAAATAAGGCGAAACTGGCGACTTGGATAAATTAGCATTCACAAAAAGTGTTTAATAAAGTTGTAATTATGTTGTTTTGGAAGGAAAATGCCCGTCAGCATCTTCGTGTCATAAATTTTCTGGCCGATGTGAATGAAATTACTAAATCAAATGCGTTGTGAATAACGTAAATTTATTGTGCTTTACCTTGAAGGTCAATTGAAACGTATGGTAATGGTTTGATTTTGGCACACTTTAGGATTAATTTGTAAATCGAGGGAAATTGTGTTTGGTGCTTCGACACCTTATTATCTAATCTCGCTAAGAATCAGGTTTTGTGATGGAAATGGACTGCGTCTATTACTGAAATCCACGCATAGCATCATAATCCAAAGCCGGCTATATTCAAAAATGCAGCTTCTTACCCCCTACCAGCCCCTAACGCATTAAAACGGGCCGTCCGATTGGTCGTATCTTCGGCAACTGGCCTATGTGAGTTCGCGAAACACGCAGCACACACCGTGGACCACCAAATTGAAGAGGAACAGAGAGCGCCCAGTCTGTTTCTGGCTGGCATTGTGGAAACTTTGTCCGTCGGTGTTGTGTGTTGCGTTTTTCCATTCAAATATCGGCACGTTTTAACAATGAACTATTATGGAAACCGCAACGTGCCATTAAAGCGAATTTAATTTAATAAGGATGGGATAAACCGCGCAGTGGGACTTTCTTTTTATTTTTCGTTGACATTTTTATTTATTTTGTAGAAAAAGTGATGCTCGCTGTAAATGTTAGTGAATTTTTTTCGTTTTTTATTATGAATTCTATACCACCGGGATTTAGAACATTGGACATGTTATGATATTAAAATAGTGCCGGTTGTATTTTTTATTTCGAAAATTTAATTTATTTATATAAACTTTTCGAGAAACTGGAGTGTAGTGCAATGGCAAGCGGTAACAACAGTGTGCAACAATCGCAAACGCATTTCCAACAGCAGGGAAACAACAGCCCTCATCACTGCAAGGAGTGCGGTCTTTACCTTAACTCTGCGGAATCGCTCGAGGTTCACCTGCAGTACCATAAAGAAAATTTACTCAACAAATGGGCCACTCAGGCAGCGGCGACCCACTCCGAAGAGACAAACAATAACAACACGAAGGCCGTCAACATAAAACGTGAGTTTATGCCTAATACAATTTCCGCTGCAGCCGATAGCTCGGACTCTATGCTAAAAAAAAGTCCCGAGTACGGCAGTAGAGCGACTCCCGAAACAAGTAATTTTGGCCACCCTCCAACTCCGCAAAGTTACCATAGCGCATCTTCGCCTTATCAAAACCCGGAAAATTCGACATTTTCGCCTGGTTTTCAAAATTATCAGCCAATTAAAGCCGAACGAGCGTCACCCGGCACGCATTATCAGCAAACGTACAACGCGTATTCCGATAATCAATTTTTTAATTTGGAAAATTCGCAAAATCAACAGCAAACGGGGTACACCCAGGAGTACCCCCTTCATAAAATGACAAATCAAACTGGCAATTTTCGTTATCATCCATATCAGCAGCAAGGCTACGATCGAAGTTCGCAACCTCAGGTATCATCTTCTAGTCCGGCATATCCACCCCAACCAACGCCATCTCCGAGTCCAAAGCAATGCGATAAGTGCGGATACGTGTGCGAGTCCGCCGCCCAGCTAATAGAGCACCTAAATGTAGCGCACCCGCCGACTCCCGCGCCCCACATGACGTCATATCAGCACAATCAACACTTCTTGTTCGGCGCGCACGAGATCAAAACGGAAGAAGACGCGCAAAGCGAAATTTTGGATTTGGACTCGCATAAAGTTCACCAGGTCTACCAGGAGGAAGAAAAGCGACAAAATGGCGATATAAACGGTCACAATCCTCATTCCGTTTCCGCCATGTTATCGACGTGGTCCCACAATCAGCAAAATCAGCGAATTTTCATAAACGCGCCCGAGCAGAAGCTATACCAAAACGGCGTACCTCACAACATGCAAGATCAGAAGTTGTTCCAGCCCCATCAAATTCACGGAGCCGAATTTATGACCAACGGCGTCACCACCACGACCCAGGATAGCGCCACCAACATAGTTCCTTCCCAAGCTCACAATTATCGACCCTTCGAACATTTACCTCCCCAATCCGCCACCCCCGTTATAACCAGCACGCAAGTTCCTAATAATGTAGCTCCTTCAAATCCGCCAAGTTCCGGCAAGGGTACCAACTGGAAGTCGAACGAGGCCCGCCGACCGAAAACCTACAACTGCACGGCTTGCAACAAGTGGTTTACAAGTTCCGGGCACCTCAAGCGACATTACAATACGACCCTTCATAAAAACGCTGTGAAATCAAGTGGACAACCCGACCCCGCTTCGTTACCCATCAGTGCCCATCATCACCCAGGTCGCGACTCGTGCTCCCGAGGTGGTGATACCTCGCCGGATCCCGTAGAAGATTCCCGAGGCGAAGAGCAGAACACTTTCGAGCGGACCGGCTCAATTCCCGGTCTCCTCCAGCAGCCGCCCAACGGTCCATACGATCGGCAGCCTACCACCAACATCCACTCCCCAATGAACCACAATACCAACGCGATGAGCCACAATTCGATACAATCTCATAGTAGTTTATCAAATTTATCTAGTGGGAGTCCCCCAAACGGGGAAGCAGGTCCCTCTGCCACTACCAACCTCGACACGAGGGGCCTGCTATCGTTACCCAGTACACCCAACCCCCCTTTCTCTACACCGGGATTCAGCATGGCTCCTATGATGCCAATGGACAACAGTCAATTCCAGATGTACCCAAACGGGTCGGCCCCCCACGTTACGCAAGTTACAGCTACCAACAACCACAATATTACTGGTGAGTTGATCGTGACGGAATCTCAGCAGCCGCTGCCCAGTTTCGCGCAGATTCAGAATCATCGCTACGGCCTGCTGCTGAGCTACGGCACCGCTAACGTGGGGGGCGTGGGTCCGGTAACGGCCCCTTACACATTCTACAACGTCTTCGAGACAGCCGATTCCCGGCAAATAGTGTTTAAGCAAGAGGAGGAGGACATCCTGACGGCCCCCGAACCTGATTGCATTCTTCCTGACGACGGCCCTTACTCGCCGCCGAACCACAACAACAATCTATCCGAATTACCCTCGCTAACCGAAACGGAAGAGCTCAAGATCAACACGCTCGAAGATCTCAAAATAAAGTTCGAATCCCAGCCGGTTTCTCCCGAGAAGGCGCACATCAAACGCGACTACGAAGACGGCGCGGGCAGCCCTTTGATCACCTCGACGGTGCAAGCCAAACAGCCCGGTTTGCATAAATGTTTCGATTGCGATAAGATGTTCAATAAGGCGTGCTATCTGACGCAGCACAACAAGACTTTTCACAGTGGCGACAAACCCTTCAAGTGTACACGCTGCGGAAAGCGCTTTTCATGCGAAAAACAGTATCAAGAGCACACTTCAAAGCACGCAGGGGAGAAACCCTACAAATGCGACCTGTGCCCTAAGCAGTTTAACCACAAGACCGACCTCCGTCGCCACATGTGCCTGCACACGGGCCAAAAGCCCTACGCCTGTGACACCTGCGGGAAAGGATTCATTCGCAAGGATCACATGCTGAAGCACTGCGAGACCCACGCCAAGAAACCGCACATCTCCAAAGTGACCGCCGTCCGCTAGAGAGCCGCCTCCTCGTGCTCGCACGCAAAAGGTACCTCATTTAAGTTCAGTTTACTTGGCCAAACTAGCGTTTAAACTGTATGTATAGTATCACCTCTTTGGCACTTTACTAATTCTTTTAGTAATAAAACTCCTATTATCATTATTATTGATTATTGTAAATATTATTTTTTAAACAACACATTTATTGCAGATTATTTTTGTGAATTGCTCAAATACAGATATCAAATAGAACAATACAATATACAGAACTACAATACCTCAGAATCTCAGTTAATAAAAATAGAGTATAATAAAGAAATATTTATATCAGATTTTAAATAAATGCGGGCGATCGTACAACGCTTCGGTTTCTTTTCGAAAAATTTTAGGAAATAATTTTTCGGCTATTTGCGAAAAAGGCCGGGGCGTTTCGCGACGGCCCCGTTTGAGTGGATGTACAAACTGTAGTAGAATTTTCAGATGAATAGAAATATATTAAATTACTGTATATTAAAATACAAGAAACATTCCTTAGGTTTAGTGTAAGCGCCGAATTTAATTTTGCGAAAGTAAAGGCGTTAATAACTACACAACTTCCAAAATTAAATTAGCACGTTTACAAAAAAGAAATCGAAGTAATAAATATGCAATAATGTTACAACGCAAGTTTTGATATTTGTTTCTAAGATGTGAGAGTTGTGAGTCGTTGTGTACATATTTACGTTGTTAGGTAATAATTTTCCATAACGAATCTACCTCAGTTGATTGATATATGATGAATTCTGTGCCAATTTAATTAAGAATTTGTTACTCCCATTAGTTGTGCGATGTGCCAAAATTTTATTAGCGAAAAAATTGGTGTATTTTCGGTTGTTATATGCAGCAAACCAAAAAAGTGATTCCTAATTTTTGTCGCACTTAAATTGGTTGTTAGTGCAATTTTTCCCTATGTAAAATGTTAACAAGTTTTTTTATGTCCTTGAGCTGTTTTTGCTCTTATTTACGGTTTTATGGTTAATTTTTAACCGAAGTAGTTACCAATGCTGTTTGTAAAAAGTAATTGAATAATTGTTTCCGTTAAACGTTATACTTCCTTGTGAATGTGGTTTATGATTAGAAATAATGTTAGGTTGTAGCCCAAGATACATTTGTTTTCAATGTGGCACCGTTTCACTGTTAACTACACACAGACGGGCAGACAGGTTATATACTGTGTATTATTTGTTAAGACTGATAATAATAGCTCTTATTTTATACTGTACATTTTACTAAGTTGCAGCTGTTAGATTTAAGTTTTTTTTGATATATTTTTATGTTAGTTACAATATCATGGACACTTTAAAATAAATATTGATTATTAAATGTATATTGTTCACTTATTTCCATTTTACACCTGAAATTTTCTACAGCTTTCACATATAGTAAGTTGCTAGTCGTCACAAAAAAGGTAAGTAATTTTTTTCAAATTTAACATCATAACAGAAACTGAAGCGAAACTAGTTTCAGGTTTTAACTGAAATAGTTTTATTGTTTTTTTTTTCAGAAATTCCAGTTTAGAACAAAAAAAATGTGTAGGATTTCAGCAAAAAAAAACAACTTTTATTTCCATTACTAAAATCAGAAGTTCTCTAGCCATTTGTGTTCTCAAACTGCAATTTTTGAAAAAAAATCAATTAGAAATATTTCAATTAATACCCTCATACATGACAGGAATTTAGCTCCTTATCAAGATAATAAAAAATCAAACTAAACCGTTGAATTTTGGCTTACTCATGCAAAAATTTGATTGATGCCAAAGAGTCAAGGTAACGTTCCTACACAAAACTTTAACTCCTTTCCAGGATATAATTCCGGTTTAATTGCAAAACTCAATTAAGTGTATGGGATAAAGTCTCAAAAGAGAAATCTTTTAATAATATTTGCACTACTTTTCGCTGGTCTATGGAAGTAAAGGGAAGTTTCTGAATATTTTGTCCTAACCCTAAATTATAATCGTTCAATTCATGTGAGTGACTAAAAAAGTAGTCTTTTCCATTGATCTTAGCCTTGTATCTTAGTACCTAAGATTTGTGGTAGTTAGGAACAAACTGCGTTGCGTTCTTTTAATTTTGGAGAGAATTTTAGAGAAAATGCACAACTCATTACACAGTTGCATATGCTCTTATACAGATCCTTGTTTAGCTTTATTCGAGAAAAAACTCCAATTCCTACTGCATGGGGCATTTAAAAGAAATTGAAAAGTTCTTTTTATTAATGGTTTGTGTACTATTCCTATTCCCGATATCTCGCTAGTTTCGAACTGTATTTACCTACTTTTTACCTCACAAAACTTAATGGAACGATTTTTTATAAGGTAATGCTTATATAGTGAGTGTCAAAAAATATTCCTGATGTCATTCTGGTTCCTCATTGGTTGCCGTGCTCAGTTACTTTTTAGAAAAGGTACTATTGATATTAGCGATTCCTTCCATTAAAGCTCTTTTGTTTTGCGGTTAATTGAAAATGATGCCTGTTGAGTGCTACCAAAGTATCCAGGTCCCGGATGTAGTGCTCTTACCCTTTGGAATTTTCTATTAAAATCAGTGAAGACCAAACTCCAAATCTCCTGAAAATTTAATAAAATTGTAAAAATTGACGGTTAAGAACTATGGGAGGCATTGGTTTGTTCTTCAATGATTCTCCATAGCGTGAGATGGATGCTCCCAATATTTAAAAACGCTATCAGCGATATTGAAACAACTAATTTGCCCGAAACGTGCTTGATCCGGCTCTGTAGCAGGGTTATTCTTTTAAAGCCGTCATTTCCCATGTACAGTTCAACTAGAAATATGAAAATTGGTAGACTACCCACCAATAATTGATAATTTCCAAATTATGTGAAATCTTTTCAAACCGGAAAGGAAACCCTATTATTTTAAATGGAAACCTCCCTCTTAATTCCGGTCTTGTATTCGCAACTAAAGTAGGTTCATTGGACCGCAGAGCAAAAAAAACTTTTTAACCTTACTATTGAAGGGTGGCCATCTGCGTTGACAATAAAACAGGACACAAGTACATTTAATCAACTTACGTGAAAACCCGTGATTTTTAATGACTGTCTTAATAATGGGGGGAGGGGGGGGGCAAATTTTTGAATATATAGGGTGTCGCTTTTTCCGCGTTTTAAATAAATACCTTTTTTAATGAAAACACCCTGTATATTTTTCGTTGTCTAGATGTCATTTACTAACCTCTACCTTTACATTGAAAGCTCTTCACTTTTCCACATTTCCAAAGTGCCATAACTATTTTTTTTCGCGATTCGATAGTCTTTTGTGGTCTCATCAAATTTTATAAGGGATGTCCAGTGTCTAAACCCAGTAGTTTTTAGGTTGTTCAGTATTTTGAATTCATTAATGGGTAGGTACCCATGAATTAATTACATGTTTATGCACCGGGGTATCTTTTATTGTCACGACCACCTCCAATGCCATGTAATTAATTAATGCGTACGTTATTTTGTGAAAAATATTGAATAATCTAAAAACAACGGGGTTTAGACACATGGCATCCCTTATAAAAATTTGAAAAGAACCCACACGACTATCGAATAGCGAAATAACAATATATTTGTAGTTCTATTTGAAATAAATGGTTATGGCACTATGAAATTCGGACAATTTACCGGAATCACTAAAACCAACTCTCATTATGTCGGCCTTCAGTTCAATTAACATTATTGCTCAAATTTATTTCGTAAATTTAAAACAAAACCGCTACGAGTCATCAAAATATGGCTCGCTTATGGGGAATTATTCGGAAAAAAATGAATAAGATGGCAACATTGACAAAAAATCAAAAAGTGAATAGCTTTCAATATAGAGGTTAACAAATGACACGGAAACAACTAAAATATACCGGTATTCTGTTATAAACATTTATTTACACCGTACAATTGAGACACCCTGTACATTCAAAAATAATTTCTATAGACACGCAACCACCTATAATTGGCATTTGTACATTTTTTTCTATTTTTTGCGGAAAGTCTGGCGCACTGATGCAGGACTGTGTATAGCTCTTGTTATATACCTAGTAAACCTTCTGAAGTTTTCAATTCATGTACACTGTACAGGATGGTTCAAATTCGTGGCTCATCAATGGGATCTCTGTAACGCGCGGTGAGGGATACAGTGTAGGTTAAATAGGGGCAAAGTTGCCGATTTTTGTGACTAAAAAAACTGAAAACCTGAAAATGGAACTGTTCTTCATGACACTCCTTTTAAGCTTTGTGAAAAAGTTCGTACAAGTTACTAGACGCGTTGAAAGTTCTCAAAACTACTAAACTTATGTAGGCAACATGAAAATCCTTAAAAAATTTTAAAAGTTGCTCAATAGTTTTTAAAAACTAGACCTTGACATTTCTAATGGATTTTAAGATTCCTTTGAGATTTACATACTAAATACTCTGTAAAGATTATTTTTAAGGCTACTAAAGACCGTCAAGGATTCTCGCTTTTACTGAACGCTCTAAATGTCACTAGAAAATTGGTTGGGACCATTGAACGCTTTTGGAGAGAAAAAACCTTGGTCGGTCATAAATACCCTCTTAAAGAGATTTAAAAAATTTTAAAAAGATACTTCTCTTGGTAACGACTGATGAAGAGTCTTGAAACATCTTAAAGGATTTTAAAGCTCAAAACCTCTAGGCTCTTGGAGACGCTTAGAAGTTTTTTAAATTTTTAAATGTTTTTAGAGACTCTAGCATCTAGAAGGACTTTACATAACTAGAGAAGAACATCTCAAAAGCTCATGTTTTTGAAATACTCATAAAGTGTTACAGGCTCCTGGAAGCTCTTGCAAACTTTTAAATAATTACTAAATATGTTTAAAGCATATTTTAGAAGATAACATAACTCAGTGGTTCCCAACCTTTTAGACTCTGCGGCCCCCTTTTTGAGTGGAGTATTTTTCCGACCCCCTATGAAAGTAAGGTGCAAATGGTCACGTGATCATTAGAGCAAATTAACTGTACAATAAACGAACGGTATGGAGCGTCAACATAACCTCTAAATTTTGTATAGCTTAACATCAGACATGCGCAGCAGTAATGGATAACAAAAAACTACTTTTGCCTGTAATCCTGCATGGTAATTTGTCATTTTTTGACCGCCATTCTAAAACTAAATCGTTGGAACGTGTAGAAATATGATAGAAATTATCTAATATAAAACAAATCGCATACCAAAACAGTCAATCAGAGAAGACATAAAGACTAGTTTTTAGGTTAAAATAATCTTCAACATGTTCTGAAACGACATATCTTAACACAATCAATCAATCCCTTTCAAACATGGAGCCACACGAGGGAATGCTAATAATTCAGAGAGGGTGTTAAAGAGTGCATAATAACTAGAGCTGTGAAAAATAATCGATATATTGATAATTTATCGATAATTGGATTCGATCAATATTATCAATAAATATGGATAGACCTCGATTATCGGTATATCGCATACAGATAGTGGAAACATTTTCGTGATAAGAAAAAATTATCGATAATATCAATACTCATCAACCAATATTTTTTTATTATTGATAATCGATACTGAATTTCTATTATCGCACAGCCGTAATAATAACGCTAAAAATGAATTTACTATTGAGGTTTGGGAAACTGGGAAACGGTTGTGAAGATTTTGAGATCCTGGCTCAGATGCCAGAATTAAAATTTTACATGTCCCTATAAACGAAACATTCGGAAACTGACATTTTTGGTTTGAAAATATTTTAAATTTCTCGATTTTTTTGGGCCTTATTAATGTCCCTATCATTTCAGTAAATTTTCAGTCTTACAATTTCAGTTTTTTCTATTGCACCAATTTTCTCTATCAATCTGTGTCCAGGCCTTAAAAACTACGATTTCCAAGATACTTTCTTCGTGTTCTTGCATTCCGTAGCTCTGAGGTGAGCAAGGAAAAATGTTGGCGATTGTCTTTGATCTTATCTACAAAAATTATGTCAAAATAGTTATTTGTACATCCATTGTGGGAAAACGTCTAAAGGCTTGACCTGGATGAGTTGTCTATAAGAATATTTCAGGGAATTCATTTTAATGTTTTCAATCAATTTTCCGTTAACTACTAGAATAATTTAACTTTAAACAGCGGCGCGGTAAAAGTAAAAGTGAAAAAGGTTATAAATAATTTTATTGTGGGATAGTAGCTCCTTTTCTTTACAGTATATTTCAGAAAATAAAGATTGCCAATTTTACAGCGTCTCGAGTCAGCTCTACCACTAATCAACGACGACATAATCAGCTTCAGATTTAATTAAAACAAAATGTAAAATCCAATCGGAGGCATTTCCTCCGAACGTTACATTGTG